GCGTGAAAAATTTGCGCGCGCGTGAAAAATTTGCGCGTGAAAAATTAAAGTCCTTTGAAAATGTCAAAAAATATGCAGTACCAAATTCTAATGCAGAAAAATGTTACCCTGTAACATGATTTTCCATCTACAACCTGAAATTTCGGTTTGAATTTTTAGGTCCCTTGGGAATAGGTTAATTTGCATATCTTCCAAGAAACATCAAAATTAAAAAATTACTTGAATTTGCCAGAAAAACATGGAACAGTTACTAATACAAGGTTTTGTATTGTTAAATTTAACAATTCCAGGCTTTTCTCCATTCTATAAGCTTGATTTGGCATTTTATGAAGCAGTTTCTTTCACGCGCAAATTTCAAACTTTTTTGCGCGTGAAAACTTAAACTTTGAAAATCACCTAAAAGTCACTGAAAAGTTTACAAAACAAGGCTATGTACTCTAGAATGTGATAATATGATACTCAATTCTATTTCATGACTTTTCATCTATATTTTTAAGTCCAAAACAGCAAAAAGTTTTTAAATCCCTTGGGAATCGGCTAATTTGCATATTTTCACGCGCAAATTTTTCACGCGCGCGCAAATTTTTCACGCGCAGAAAACCCCATCTCGTCTAGTCTAATATGACATTCTACAGCAAATTATCTGTGGTTTTTCAATAACAGTGGTTGAGGTAATTATAGCAAAGCTGACAACTTCAGTTAAAGCAAATCTATTTCAGAATGTCAGAATGAGGACTCATTCCAAACAAAATAATACTAGTATCAGATTGGTCATTCTCCATGTGTCTTTTCCACACTCCACATGGCCCTTATGATCACCACGTGCATTTGACCAAATTTGTCTTGTTTTTTATTTCGTACACTGTTTTAAATCTCTTCTTGTACTTTTTTTTATTTGTTTGTTTTAAATGATATCCACAAATTTCTCTACTTCTGTTGCAAGACTCAGCAGTAGAGATAACTTCGAGCTACCTCAGGTCATTGACCTGTGTGCTCCCAAAATATTCTCAGTACATCTGACACCCAGGTGACATGGCTATAGTATAGATGGAAAAATACACAACTTGACAAGGCTAGAATGTGCCTACCCAGACTGGTCTCTGGCTCAGATGATCAAAACATGCTACGTAACATTATAGGCTACCAGCAATGTTATGGATCCTCTTTTTATGCTGTACCCGTCACATGTAAAATTTGTGCAAGATAAAGATCCTTAAAACAAGCATCCAATTTCAGGGAAGCAAAACACAAAATACTCTTTATGAGGAAAACTGTCTGATATTGACATTTACTGCTATTTCTTAGCACATTTTCATCATCATTTCATACTTGAAGCCTTTGAAATAGCCCCCAAACAAGTCACATTATTACTGCCTTTATTTTTTGTAAATTTCTAGTACCAACCTATGATACGAGACAAGCAACCATTTTCCGTCAGCAACATTACATTTTTGCCTCATAGATATCAATATGCTATGTAATATACTAGTAACTAAATTATAGAATTAAGTTAACTAACTACATTAAAAAAACTGACCAGACAATTGATTTTGAAAATCCAGTTTTACAGCCCTGAAATCGCTTTGGGTGCCTTTCAACTGTGTTAGACTACTACTAGTGACCTTTTGTCTTATCGTCATGGACAGCATATGTTTTTTTTTAAAATCCCTTTAACCTTTTAACATGGACTAGCCCAAGCATCTTGTGACTTACCCATGTATATAAACTAGTTGTGGGACATCAGAACATGGTGCTAAATACCTTTGAGTAAAAACAAGTGCCAATCAAGCTGCTAGGGAGGATAAACAAACCAAAACAGACCTGTCCAAGTCACTGCAGTCAGTCATGGCAATGGTGAGAAGTCACTGGAATATTCTTCACGAGTCGTATGTAGATATCTCCGTAAAAAAACACAAAAATGGCTCTCAGCGGCTTACTGTAGAGGAAAGAGAGAAATGACATATCTGTCAATAACAATCAAATTATGACGATAGTAAATCATGATTACATATATGATATTTTTCATTAGATATTTCATAGATAAACATGCCAATACTAGTTGTAGAAAGTTAGAAAGCATCCTGTTAAGTGTTTTGTACTACACAAAGTATCTAAAGCCAAGGAGGAGATCGATGTTGTGCACTATTCATGTATTGAATTGTACAGGAAATAACATCAACATTCTCACAAACAAGAACGCATACAATGGCTGGTAAAGGGGTTTCTACAAGGATGTAAGATTGCTTGTACATGAGGTAAGGTCTAGACTGGGGTACTACTAACATGGTATCACAGTACGTAAGCCCGGATACTGTTACACTCCCGTATATTTGAATCTACTGGTCAGTTTTAACCAGAACAAACTGGATTTTACAGACAGCTGACTACAGGTAGGGTTAGTGTAGTCATTAGAAATCAATGGCAATCATAATCTTTGTACACCTGGTTTTTGGGGTACTTTGAGGTTTTCTTAAAGATGCGTACAGGTGTTTGCTGCACAATTCCAGTATTTGTGCTGAAACACAATACGGTGTGATCGTTGGCGTGCCGCCAGCTTACGCACATTTGTTTAGGGCAGTAACGGGGTAAACAAAGCATGACATAATTATGAATGAAACGAAGGAGTTATGGCTCTTTGCTGATGTGGAAACAAAAAATATTCATCATTTTCATCATTAAAAAATTGATAAAACCACATCCATACATGTTATTCTCTAAAATGATAGCCAAAATAAGCCAATGTTCAACAAAGGAAAAATTATATTTGACCTGAACCAATATGAATTTTACCTGATGTTCACCCAAAAAATGAGTTGTATTTCTCATATCACAGATTTATCTTCGCTGCAATAAAGGAAAAATGGCAACAAGACTAATATCTTTATTTTAAGACCTGAGTCAGACATCCTTGTTTAGTTCTAACCCCAGCTAAAGTCTTTGCTCTAAGTTACCACTTTTTAAAGAATTGTGCCAAAGAATGCACTTGCAAGATGTAAAAACATTAGATTTTTTAGTTGAGTCTACACATTTTACTTCTGCACTTTTACTTCTTTGTGAACTGCTTGTACCGTACAAGCTACATACATGCACACAGTACTAGTAACTATTGCCCAAATATTATACAAAGACCATACATGTACAGTACATGTCCCAAAGCTTTCGTTCAAGACAACTTTTCCTATGAGAAAGAATCTTTACATCGTTAAGCGTTTCTAGCCAAAAGATAAGAGTCCTCAGAGGTCGAAGACTTGATAAACTTTTTGTGTAAAATGAAAAAGAATGCGTGATTCTCTAAATCTAACCACCTTGTTCACTCATAATCATGTGACGTTTTGAACTCTTAGCATCTAAAGTTGGGGTCTCAAGGCTTCTATTGACGAAGAAATAAACTGTGACGAACTCAAGAAGTCCATCTGTTCCGTAGTTTTCGTCTGCCATTAAATGGAGATCATAAAAGCGCGGTAAAGTAGTAGGAAAAGTGCGGGTAAATCTCACGATCGTTTGCATGGGAAGCATGCAAATAGTGCCGGTACGCCGCCATGTTGGTTCCTCAGTACAGGTCCCTCGCGGTACACCAAGAAATCGCCCTAATTCTCACCTTTTCGACAACATTTCTACAATATTAATAGCTGCGTAGCTTCAATTATATCAGTTGAACCACATAATGTACAGTTTAAGAGGAAGACTTACGTCTTTGAGTAGAAAATTGCGGCTAGCGCTCGCGCACTGTCACTCCGTGCTCGCCCGGCCTCAGGTCTGTTTCTCTGCCGGAAATGACGTACTTATGAATAAAACTGCCTTTTCCATATATGGTCAGGACCCTGTTCACGTGGCGCGAAAACTTCTCCATGTCATTTGCCAACGTTGTAAATGTTTTAAAACGTAGCTCATCAACGTTGTATTAATCAAGACAAGGTAAAATAGTACATTTTGTACTTGATGCATGTAATATCTTTGTAATGTTGTCATCTTCAATAATGAGGAGGGAAAAAAATTCATAGCATCATTTTGATCTTCCCAATATCTATTCTGGTATCAATGTTTTTGGATATTTGCACGGATGACACGTTGTTATGGTTGTGTGATCCGGTTCAGACAGAATCATAAACCGGTTCAGTCCGCCTCAGTGAGAACAGTGTTCATAACATCTATAACGTTACATGTAACATGTAAGATGTAATGCTTTCCCTTTCCATTCAATATGTATACTGTACGTATGTCTTGTACATGAACGTCTTTAATATGATTGTGAATAATTAAAGGATAATTGAACGTTGAAATCTGTGTCTCGGTCTTGTCTTGTCTTCGTGCTTTTTTTCGTATTAGAAGAATTAAGGCCAATTTTCCTCGTTCCCCTGAGTGGTCGTCTTAGACAAGTTACCGGCAACTGACGTATATTGGTACACGTCCATATTAAACCTTTACTTCAGTTTCCCGTTTTTGATCGCGTTGGTGACACCAAGAAGCTTTCATCACATGTCCTTGGTGACACTTTAATTATGTAACACTGTTACTCGTAATGTTTCCATATACTAGTAATTACTAGTCTTGTACGAACATGGTCTCCAAGCAGATGTATTGTATGGCTTCGGCTTCTTTTTACTGCGCTTGTCGTTCGCCTCAATGCACTTCATGAAAGTGGCGGCAAAAAACGGGTAGTGCGCCCTGGGCGCACACGATTCGTTTTTAAAGAAATTGTAGCCTCCACCAGACTGAGAGTAACAACGCGGGTTGAAAATCAGTATTACGGATTTGGCTAAGTAGAGAGAATAATTTGGAAGGGAAGCTTAACCACCGTGGACTTAATTTGCACCTCCGGAGGGGGAAATAACGTCAACCCTCCCGCGGACTGACTCTCCTGGCGAATTATTTCCATTTTTGCTGAATTCTATAATCCGTACCCCCATAGGGAGGCCTGGTGGAGGATATAGAAATTTATGCATGCTGCAAAATCGATCGTGTTGCTGTTCGAACTTTGACCCTTTCCCAAGCATCACCCAGTATCATCCAGTATGGCTTCCGTTCGGTCCATCTCCCTCCTCCTCCTCCTTCCCCTCACCATCCTCCTCCTCCTGGCACATACTGCCGTCTGTAAGGAGTATTTCTTCAAGAAGGACCGGCAGTGTAACGTGAAGGTGGAGCGGCTGCAGCCGAAGGTACAGAACCCTGGCGGGCCGTGCAGTACAGTGCACACCGTACGGTGCGGGCAGCAGATCAGCCTGGATAGCATCCGGGTTGTGGCGTCCGAGAAGGTAGGAAAGGGGGTTTTCTAGCTATAGAAGCCTCTACCAGGCACCGCGGATCGCCGGAAAAATAGTAGAAATTTGCCATAACAAATGGAACATTATACCAGGGAAGTTAGCAGGCTAGAGAGGGCACATTTTCCGTGGTCTGTCAAATAATATTCCCTTTTGATTTTGGTCAATTTCTACAATTTTTTTCAGCGATCCACAGTGCCTGGTAGAGGCTAACGTTTTCCTCTTTCATAGAGTCAGCAATGACGCAAAAATACGATTCTGTTACTCTCACCTCTCGAATAAAAGTACCCCCTGGAATAGAAGTACCCCCCGGACAAATCTTCAAAATCTAATAAAAGTACCCCCTGGAATAAAAGTACCCCCCGGAAAATTTAAAAATTGACATGTAAGCAACGTCTATGCTCCAAAAATGTGTTCTCATGGTGTATATATATATGTGTGCGTCTGTATGACCTTGTCACTTGCAATTATTGACAGGTCCTGAATAAACATACCCCCTTGAATATGATTCCCCCAACAAATCTTCAAAACTTTATAAATATCAGGGATCTCCCCAGAAATTCAGAACAGGGTGGAGGAGGGTGGTCTGGAAACCCCCCCTCCATGGGGGGAAGCTATTGCATTTTGTCTTTTCCAAACACAAATGGAGGTCATTTCCTGCAACTTCAGTTCTACATTTTCTGTACAATTGCAGATGTATAAAGCAGGAGAAAGGTTCAAGATTTAAAAAAAAGTTCTATTAGCACCCTTAATTTTGAAAAAATTGGGCATAGGTTCCCCGGATGACCCCTAACCGGGGGCCAACGGTGCTTCCACAAGTTCAACAAGTGAAAAATACATGATACAAAATGTACATGTATTTACTACCTGGAACTTGGAGCAAGTTAATTCCAAAGATGTAACGTTACTTACTGACATTAATATATTAGAAACTAAACCAAATCCTATTTCCCAAACAAATCACATATTGACACAGCTGAACAAATAAAAATGTGATCATGTCTATAAACTCCACTCAAAAACAATTTTTGAGAGACACTCGGGTACTAAGCGTGATAATCTCTAATATCTCATCTGATTCTCCCAATGTAAAGGATCTTTACAATCACAGCATCCAACCGCACATACATAGAAACAACAATATTACACAAGAAACCAATAAATTCGGAAAATTTCTCAGTAATGTTTGAAAATTATCCTTATTAAAATATAAGTGAATTTTTATTTCAGTTGTAGCCGAAAAAATATTTTTCATGCGTTTAAAGTATCGTTTTAGCACTGTAATATGTACTTAGTACATGTCTTATACATTTGGATGTTATCTTGACCTTTGACCACTGTTGTTCTAAAAGCAGGTCGGCCATTTTGTCTTTCTCGCCGTGGCTTTTCGAGCCGTTTTTTCGAGCAAATTTCAACCATTTTAAACATTTTACGGCCTCAAAAACTCATATAACGAGGAAAACAAGTTGTAGTTGTTATTTTCATGCGTAACATTTCTTCTGGGGATGGTTTATTTTTCCGCCGAGCTGCCGAAAACTAGCGTCAAACCGCAACCATGCGGTTTCTTCGCGGCGGCCGGCGGGAGTTTTTGTATCGGAGCTTTCACGATGTAAACAAAGATAGTCGGAGTTGTTTATCTGAAAATTTTGTTGTGAAACGCCAGCGGGGTGTCAGATTTTCTACTAATGACAACGTTTTCTTTGTGGCGTCATGGCGAGATCGACAATTCATCGACAATTTACAGGAATTTGTGCCGACAATGGAATGAATTTTCCCGGAACTTTTCCGATTTTGAAAAAAGAAATAAACGTACCGTCTAAAATAAGAATGTACCGGGTGGATTTTGAGGCGAAAAAAAATAAACGTCCCGGTACGTTTGTTTCGCATAACCGGTAAACCGCCTTCAGGCGTAACACACCAGTTTTGTACATGTGCGCACATCTATTAAAGAGCTGAGAGTAATTCTAAAAAATCGTCTCAACATGTCCAAAATCTTTGCTTCTGACCTCCACTGTATTTTCTCTGTCCTTTTTGCGACTAAACGCTCATAGATTATCAATACCACAGATTATCAATGGTGTGTTGAATACTCAGCAAAAATGCGCCTATTTTGGTAAGCAAAATTGGAAATGGATAGAAATGTCGTATTGGTTATTGGGCGCCCACTTATGTGGTCACATAGGCAGCTAGCATGAAGCCCCTTGCTATCAATTGAACCTTTTTTGTTAGATACATGTAGTGATAATCATTTATGTATGAGAAGGTCAAGATTGTCACTTGGGAAATTAGGTCCATGATTTAATGGAAATGGACAGCCAGAAGGCACAGTAAGGTAGCGATATTCATGATGAATCATTTGTTTTCAAGACACAGTCCACAAAGGCAGTTAAATGGTGAAATGCTGTTATTCAATGGTACCAATCATGTCTATGTCCTTAGTGCTGAAATGGCCATCTCCCAGGCAAACTATATATGTTTCCAGATGGCCAATGAGAAACGGTTATACAAAGTCGTCGTATTCTATAACAAATATGTACTGCATAAATATTCACCTATCAGGATAATTCCATGGGGGTCTACAGGGGGGGGGGTAATTATATATTAATTAACCCCTATAATTCATTGCTAAATATGCAAAATCATTGGCGCTCATTTCAGTCTAAAAATGCCTAGGTACATTCTGGCAAGGGGAACAGTCTGGCCTGTTACACCATGCCCCTAGCCAGATTTTGAATGTGCCTAGGTACAATCTGGCCAGGGGTACAGACTGCCCTGTTACACCATGCCCCTAGGCAGATTTGTGAATGTGCCTAGGTACAATCTAGCCAGGGGTACAGTCTGCCCTGTTACACCTTGCCCCTAGGCAGATTTGTGAATGTGCCTGGGTACAATCTGGCCAGGGGCACAGACTGCCCTGTTACACCATCTGTTTTGTTTTTCCCCAGCTTGGTTTTGAGGTGGTTGACGTTCTAGACTGGGAATCCAGGGGGCCGCTGGATGAAACCATTACCATCATGGAGGACACTAAAATGTGGGTGACGGACGCTCCAGTCAAGAGGGCCCAGTTCAGCGACATGCATGATGATCTATGAATGTGCCAAAGGACTGATCATCTTCTATTATCCTATAATTTTCTCAATGGAAAAAGGGCTTAAAGAGTAAAGACTTCCATCATTGTTAGGGATTTACTATTCAATTGTTTAATATTTCTGAAATGAAAAAAATAGCACAAATAATCATATGATTTGAGGGTGAAGTCAGTTGAATGAGATTATTAGTGCCAATGCTGTCAATGCCACCGTGTTTAACAAAAGGTTTGGGGACCAAATATTCATTTTCTATTACTTCTCTTAAAGTGCTTCCATGATAAGTAGTGTTTTGTGCCAACTTTCTGAATCTCTATATGTTGGATATAATTGACTATTCTTAATATTGTTGCATTAATATCAATGTTTACTTCAATTGCTTAATATTCAAAGGAATAGTGCCAAGATAGAAATTGTAGGTAGGTAGGATATACTCTTGTGATATTCCAAGTAGTTGTAGGGGTGTAAAAATGTTGAACTTCATAGTTTTCGTTTTTGTCTTGGTTTTGGGTGAAGTAGTGATGTCCGTTACATATACTAGTATATTGTTATTCATGTAAAGATTGTTAAGTGAGATGTGCCAAGAAAGGTCAGTTAGAGTAACTTAGACTGTAGAAAAAGTAGCAATAGTGAAGTGTGAACATGTCCGTATTCTCCTGTCATACCCTTCATGGACTGGTAAAAGAGACCTCTAGTGATGTGTTGAAGAAGTGCAGCCTAACAGAATAACTGACTGTAATTTTGTAAAGATGAAAGATGTGTTAGCATTCTGGTTAATCTGGTATTTATATTTGTGACCAGAGAATATAACACTAAATGTGTATATGTAGCAAAAAGTGTATCTGTGCAATATACTGTAATGTTACTCATATAGCAAAAAAGTACTGCACTGTAGTGTATAAAGGTATCACTCTATCCAGGATACTTCTCATTTTCCAATATTGTGTAATACCTAATGTGGCTTTCAACCCCATTCATACTAAGTGTTGCAAATCAGTGATTTACCTGAATTTGATTTTGAAGGCTTAGTACAGTATGAACAGAGTTTTAGTGATGATTTTGTGATATATTCTACCTTGCATCATGAAAGTTACAAATAAATGTGCAAATGCCCCCACTACTCATTTCCTTTGTGAGACAAGCAGTTGATAATGTACACAAAGTATAGCACATGACACCATGAGACAGTTTATTGTTGCATGTAGGCTGATATTACAGTTATTTTGTTACTCTTGCTTCACTACATTGTGTGAATGTCAGGACACAAGAGTGAAACACACTCCAAACATCATTACAAAAACATTTCAGTTGAGGTAGTGGAAGTACTGTTGCCCCTGAAATAGCAGACTTTCACAAAGTGGCTTTGTGGCAATTTGGGGTCTTCAATGATAAACTCTGTAGTCAGATCAAGTTAAGAAAAGCCACATTCTGTACATCTGCGGCAAATGAGTGGACTAACTGTACTTCCAGACCTCCTGTCACTTACAAAAAACATACAGAATTAACTTCATGTAGTGTTCCAAATGTCTTTTTTTTCAAATTCTTGAGTACAAAAACAACCTCACACAAGTGTCAACAGTCAATAACTGTGCTCTGGTGCAATAATGAGAACAAAATGGCAGTCGTACCACTGGGGACTTCAAGACAATTCTGAGCAACTTTCTCTCGGTACATTCTTCATTCTTTTCTTGGTTCCTTATAGAAATACCTGAGGACTGGCTGTCTTTCCCTTCCACCATAACTTTGCTTCCTCCCCCAAGTTCCACGGCCATCTTGTACCCCATTGTCACAGAATTATTTACAGAAGATTCAACGTTAACAGCTGATCTGTAACATTGCACACAACTTTCCACAGGGCAAGTCACTACAGAAGAGATTTGAAGTGCTTAACACATATAAGCATAGAGGACGCCATGCCGACCATACAAAATTACCAACTGTATCTTGGCAAGGGTGATAGAGCAACATTAGAATACAAAAGCTTAAAAATGTGTTCTAAAGTGTATTTTTCAAGTTTTCCCTGCAAAGTACACCTTCTACATGTTGACTTTAAAAGATCCAAGAACAAATAATGGTCAGTGTGGCTTGACTTGTACAAGTGATGTACATGTTTGATCTACCAAACACACATGCAAAATCTGTTCAAGTACATGTATTGGCTATATCTGATCATTTGCTGAAAAGGCAACTTAGTTCAGGAGCTGCCTTTGGACATCATAAGGCATGAAATTTTGCTTCTTGGCTGGCATACATGTACAATTCATTATCTGACAAGTGTGTGTTCTCACCTATGTATCGGGAGATCAGGAGTAGAAAACACAGGACACATTTGGCTAAAGACATGTATTTGGCCTATACCTTGTTGGTAGAAACATTCTGTATCTGTTTTTGTGAATGACGCAATGCAAAGTTTCTGATATGCACACTTCAAACTATCAGAGCCAGTACTATTGTCTACTGTTACGTACGATACAGTTATTTACAGGAATTTGCCGCATACAAAAGGCTTAGGAATGCAGCTTATAAAAGAGGCTAATAGAGAGCAAAGCAAATCAAGCAGTATTTCCTTGAGAATTAGGAATTCTTTTAAAGGACCCAATTTACCAGGAGAGGATTTATTCCAGACTAATACAGTTGACATCTGAGACACGTTTGTTTCAATGCTTTTAATAGAAAAGGCCTTCAGAGAAAACTTCATTTGAGGTATAGAGGTAGTAAAGTAACAAAGAGACGTATCCTCAAAATCTGAATTTTGTCAAAATCAACAAGTTAAAAATCATAACCATAACAAATTGTTAGTTTAAAATCATCATCATAAAAGATTGTGAAAAGGTATGTTACTCTGCACCAAAGTAGTGCTTGTTGATGCTTATGAAATTTGCAAAAAAATTTGCAAAAACTGTTGTCTGAAGTTCTGTTGTTTTTTTTACATCATCATCACACCTAAACACTTGCAAGCAAAGGAAAACACATCTGGCAACTTAGGTTGCAAAGCTTGTTAAAATTACTTTCAATCCAGGTTCCCAAAGTGAACAAAAAGATGGAGAATGGATTTCATCCCATGTCCATCCCATTTTTCTTCCTTACAGTACACACGGATTATATACATCTGAAGACAGGGTTAGCTTGGTCTATCTATGCTTCAGTGCCTGCATTATGACTTATGATCTCGAGTAGATCTATGCGCTACAATGCTAACATCTACCAACTATGCTGGCAAGCTACGATAGGCATGCATAAAAATAACTTAACTTGCTCGCATTCTGGGTGCTAAAAATTATTTTGCTACAAAATCAAGCCACACGAGGCTTGAGTGACTAGTTCTGGAATATCTAAGCAATCGTACATGCATCTGGTCCTACCAAAACAGAATTATACAAACAAATCAACTTTCCTCACATTAGGTTCAGTTTTACTGCATACAGTTTGATTTTTTTGTAGTGAACACAGACTATGGGCAATGTACAGAAAAGATAGAAGATAGCCTTGCTTGCTGCTACAAGCATGGTTCATCATCTGTTTTAGAAAAGACTGTTGAGTTGTACAAATGTGTAAAACATGCACAATATCTAAATTGCCATCTACTGTTTCTGGAATACCATCTATAGTATCTTGGGTTAGCAATTGTACTAACAACAACATACTGTCTACTGGCAAAATGGTACTGTACTGTACATTAACTACTGGAACAAAATCAACTGGAAGTCTACAACTAAGGTTCACATTCTTGCATACTCATGGGTTCCAATGACACAATAGGTCTGGTGTAGGGTGTTACATAAACTTCTACTAAGGAGGACTAGGAGAAAATCGACTGCCTGTGTTTGTACGTACAGGCCTACTTTGCTCCGGGAACCTTAGTCAACACCTGAAAAATAAACAGAAGACAAAAATGTCACTGATAAAGAATGTTGTAAACATATTGCTACCATTCTTGCAAGTGCAGTAATCAGAAAGATTACATCTAACAGCTTTTTCAGAGTATGAAATGGTTGGGTAAGACTTCAAAACCCACATTTTTCATCACTTTGGGCAGATCAAGTCGCAAGCAGAGGTCACTATACTTTTTGTAGATAGTGGGGAAATATTCTGCATTTGCTGGCTAATAATCAGTCTTTCTACAGAAGCTCTGAGATGCTTGAGAGGGAAATATTCTGCATTAGCTGGCTAACAATCACTGAGAGGGAAATATTCTGCATTTGCTGGCTAACAATCACTGAGAGGGAAATATTCTGCATTTGCTGGCTAACAATCACTGAGAGGGAAATATTCTGCCTGTGCTAGCTAATAATCACTGAGAGGGAAATATTCTGCCTGTGCTAGCTAATAATCACTGAGAGGGAAATATTCTGCATTTGCTAGCTAATAATCACTGAGAGGGAAATATTTTGCATTTGCTAGCTAATAATCAGTTTATAGTCACTGAGAGGGAAATATTCTGCATTTGCTAGCTGATAATCTCTGAGAGGGAAATATTTTGCATTTGCTAGCTAATAATCACAGAGAGAAATATTCTGCATTTGCTAGTTAATAGTCACGGAGAAGCAAATATTCTACATTTGCTAGCTAAAAATAATCTGAGAGGGAAATATTCTGCATTTGCTAGCTAATAATCAATGAAAGGGAAATATTCTGCATTTGCTAGCTAATATTCCTCACCTTGGACAGGTCAACGCCGGTGAGGGCTTGCACGGCTGGCGGGAGCTCGCTGACCAGCTTGGTGATCTCGTGTGTGCTGCGGCTGCCTTCTCCGCCCAACAGGACGATCTCCTCCGTCCTCGCAAGCGGAGCGGACGCCTCCGCAGCAATCTGGAGAAATGAGACACAAATGGCACATGTCAGGATGTTGAAGCTTAAAAATTGTGCTGCAAATCATTGCATTACTATGCTATTATTAGTATTAAGGCAGACACAAAAAGAGTGATAACAAACCTCAGAAAATTTCAACTTTTATATGTCCCAACTGTGGCTGGGACAGCCATTACTACATGCAAGGATAGGACTGATTTACCACACAAGAATGCAAAGATGCTGCCCATGAAAATAACATAAGATTATAGAGATGGGAAGATGCCTACTACTGCTGTTACATGCCATTATCCAAGAACATTGTACATTGTGAACATTGTAAATTATAAATGATTCAGAACTGTAACTGAGGAGTCGCCCACCTTAGGCAGGGACTCCAACACCAGGGCCATCATGGCGGCATCTCCGTACATCTTGTACGCCGCAGCCTTCTGTCTCATGCGCTCGGCCTCCGCCTTTCCGATGGCCTCGATTGCACTGGCATCTGCCTCTCCAATCAGCTTGATCTTGCCTGAGTCAGCCTGGGCCACCTTGACGGTCTGTGTCCTGGGAACAAATAACAATGTACAACTCAGCATGGACCTGGTAGTGCACTGCTTTTCATATGCTAGCCTGGAGCCCCAATCAAATCCCAACAGCCAATTACCAAGAAGAATAGAGGAAACCTGCATGCCTATTGGTTGCTTGCTCTGCATGCCATTTTGATGACTCATGCCCAAATATGATAACACACTACTATAGCACATTTTCTTTTCTACAACACAGCCAAAAAGCTCAAATAAAACCATTCTAAAAGCCTGTATCACAAAATTAAAAACAGCATGGGGGTATTTGCCTACTCTACCTTCAGACCAAATTTCATGTTATTTGGCCCAAAAATGAAGGAGTTGAATCACTTTAAAGAAATGGCAGGAGAAGGAGAAGGAGGAGAAGAAACATGAGGAAAAACAAATTATGTTTTCACAACGTGGTGAAGCCATAACAAACAAGAGCCTAGCAGCCAGCCTACCTCTTGCCCTCTGCTATCGTCTGGACCTTGTAAGCCTCGGCCTCGGCGGGACGCCTGACGATGGCGATCAGTTCCTTGTCCTTACGCTGGATCTCCTTCTCCTCGATGTCGATCTGCTTACGCCGCTCCACGACTTCGATCTCGATCTCCTCGTTACGGATCTTCTGTCTGACTTTGGCGGCCTGAAGCTCATAGGCCAGGTTGGCCTCGGCTTTCTGTTATCATGTGACGACAAAATGGAAACAAGTTGTCATGATCCTATCTTCTGCAAATCACTCTATATTAGCGGCACTTTTATCCTTGCAATTTTCATGGTTACTTCTGTACCATGAATTTATCATTACCACAACTTTCTTTCTACTGCTCCTGCCGCCACCGCAAACATATAGTTCTGCAAACATACAGTTCTGCAAACATGTCCATTTTTCTCAGACCGCCGAATGGCAGCCGCACAGACCCTTATGACAGTTCCACAAAAGTGTGTGTGGAGCAAATATGTTATTTGTACCATGTGTATTATGTGACTGTAAACCCTGCATCAATTCAGTTCTAAAAGTGGCTGCGATTGCACGGGTAATTTTTGACCAATAAACCATTTATTAAAAGCATTAGAAAGGAACTGTAAAGCGTACCTTGGCCTGCACTTCCATCTCGTACTCCGACTTCTTCAGTTTGAACATTCTCTCGTGGTCAGCGATCAGGGTGTCCGCGTCGTAACGTACATCCATCCTTGCTTTCTCACATTCAGCTTCCTGTAAGGTGCAGAATTCAGCAGGAATAGGATAAGTATTATTAACTACATACATTTAGTACAGGGCTCTGAGAATGGGTGCACTGGTATACACCCAACCTAAAAAAAATGGATGCACAACAAAAAATTGGGTGCACCATATGAAATAAAATAAGTAGAATGTAAGCAAAAACTAATTTCATTTCTACAGAAAAGTACCTCTACAATGATTTTACTATTTTTCTGACACTTAGAATTTAAGAATATGTGTATGACTATGACTATGACATGGCTAAAAATGTACTCTTTAAAAATTATAATTAAATTCATTTCTTTACATTTTCGTCTTTGTCTTTTGATTTTGGCATTCTACGACATTGGTATCATTTTACAATATTTCTTTTTGCAACTTACAATATGTTTTTGCTAATTTTGCAACTGTTTTGTACGATTTACAGCATGGTTACTTTTTTTTTGGAAATGGCCAAAAATTCATGCGCACGTGGGTGACATCCATATAATCATATCAACATGGCCTAAGGTTAAACTCCAGAGAACTTCTGCTAAACTGACCCTGATTCCTGCATCTCTCTCTGCCTCGGCCACACCGATGTCGGCGTCCCTCTTCACGGCGGCGGTCTGCGATCTGCCGAGCGAGGACAGGTACTCCACGCGGTCGAACACGTCCTTGATGGTGAAGGACAGGATCTCGATGCCCATGCGTCCCACGTCGGGGGACGCCACCTCTCGCACCAGCTGGGCAAACTGGTCCCTGTCCTTGTAGACTGCCTCCACAGTCAGGGTACCTGGGAAAAAACATGAAAGTTAGAACATGTCCAATGCATTGTTTCAATACCCAGTTGCTTTAATGAATTATGTTTAACATGATGCTTATCAACAGTGTTCAATACTGTAGGGAAACTGAATACCTACCCAGGATAGCCCTGAGAAGACCCATGTGTTATTCTTACCCACCCAGGATAGCCCTAAAATCACCCATATGTTCCAAACACCTATCCAAGATAGCCCTGAGATGACCCATGTATCCTACTACCTACCCAGGATAGCCCTGAGATGACCCACATGTCCTACTACCTACCCAGGATAGCCCTGAGATGATCACTTACCCTACTACCTACCAAGGATAGCCCTGAGATGACCCACATGTCTTACTACCTACAATGTACCCAGGATAGCCCTGAGATGACCTACGTGTCCTACTACCTACCCAGGATAGCCTGAGATAACCCACATATTTTACTACCTACCCAGGATGGCCCTGAGATGACCCACGTATCCTACCTAGCCAGGATAGCCCTAAGACAACCCTTCCAAACACCTACCCAGGATATCCCTGAGATAACCCATGTGTTACTCATACTTACCCAGGCTAGCCCTAAAATCACCCATATGTTCCAAACACCTACCCAGGATAGCCCTGAGATGACCCTCCAGAGTCTGCAGGATAACAGACTCGATGTGTGACACAGACTTCCCCAGGAACTGTTCGCAGGCGGTGCTCAGCAGCTCCGGCTCCGTCATGACCTTGACCTGCGCCACGCCGGTCACAGTCAAGGGCACGCCCTCCGCTGTCTCCACGCTCTCACAGGTCGGGTTAAGGGTCATGACCTCCAGGGACAGCCTGGTAAGAAAAGGACAAAAACAGATCTTACTTTCAATTTATTGTAAACTTTTCGTCAGTGATTGACATTACCAGCAAGCCGATCCGTAGCACAAAATACATGTAACATACTCAAGCCTGAAAGCACATACACATTTTGAACATAATAAATCAATATAAAACAGGTTGTGTGATCCGTATGATTGCATAGATTTGCATTTTTAGTTTTGCAACGTAGCATTTTGTGCCAGCTTTTGCACAAATGGGTTTCTAGTTTTCCATGTTTCCTTCAGGGAAGGCAGAGTGCATTAACTCAGGGAGAGTTGACTGTTATTCATGTCACATCACATCTAACCACCAGTAGCATGTCAAGAGTCCAGGACGTCCCTCGTGAAGTGCTAATGACTGCAGGGATGGAATACAGGGCCTCTGGGAAAACGGCTTTTTAGCTCTCGTAAGGGCAGGCTTTAGTTTTGGTATGGCTGCATGACTGTTCTTGATAATATCATCACTAGAAATGTTATCAGCAGCTTTTGACATTTAAGTCAAAATGATATGCCACCAACTATGAAATTAATTTCAGTGCATGTAGTGGAGAGTCAGGGTTTGCAGTATAGCATAGTTCTCACTAGGCTGTTTGAGCTTTATATAAGGGGCCCCTACACAGTGATTTGGATGCATATGTGACTTATCCCCCTACACAGTTTTTCAACCAGTGTAGGGATGTTTCTATTTCAGGAGAACCTCGTAAAAAAAGATTTTTAAATTTGACTTTATAATAAAGGTATAACAGGGGGAAAACATGAATTTGTCCCTCAATAAGCAAGAAATAGTGTCTCAGATATTTAGAAGTTTTAAAATTACTTATACCTGACCCCCTACGCTGTGAAAAAATTCTGATGACAACCCTGTATTATTATTATTATATAGTATAGTCAGAAAAATACAGAATTTGATAAATATGTATATAGTGAGACTTCAGAGATCAAGACAATCATTACATGTACTATAACTAAAATGACACTTAAATATTGAAGGGTTTTATAGTGTCTGCTATATACAGGGCTTATATTTCACGCACTATCACCCCTTGAAACAGTCCAGGCCACATTATCGATTTCCCTGTGGGCCGGCCAGGTAATACAGCGAGCTCGCTTCCACGTAATTCCCGCTCTAACATGATTATACGACACAGGGACTACATGACGCATAAAGGTGGCCAATAACAGAATGGAAGCAACGCTAAGTGAAGAGCTGGCACCGAATTGACAATAACACGAACATCAATCAGTATTCGGGATTTTGGATTCATACTTTATACTAAATTATAGTGTTTTGAATGGGATTTTGCTGTAAATAACAGTAGTTTAGTCTAAATTTGTGAGGTTCTTAATTCATACTCTAGACTTTATCTGACATAATTTGTTTGCCATGCTTGATTAAGATGCCTAACATGGCCATCATCTAACCTACTACATGTAAGCCATTCCAATCAACTTTGAGGTGTGGCTGTGAAATGTATTTTATATTATATCAAATTTTGATAGTTTGAAAGACTAATTTAAATTTCATCTAGCGAAAGAATAATCTAAATGTAAAGATATTCTACTCTACTTCTATCAAATTCACTTCCAAGAACTTAAAATACCTTTTGAAAATTACCGAACACCAACCCAACATGTACTGTGTAGTCTAAAATATCTATTACTAATTTCATTCTAAAAGGGTGGTATCACAACAACCAATCAGTAGTAAGCCTTACCTTTGCACATCAGTAACCAACCACCATGCCCAGGCCCATCCGCCAATCACCGTCTTCCTTGTATCTGCACCACAACAGCCACCTGTGTAACAAGAACCATGATTGGATAATATTTCCCACAATGTCTTAAACCTTAGATAAACATGAATAAAATTAGTATTGACACACAAACTATGCATATATAAACATATTAAGCAACTAAATTATTTAATATTTTTACTGTTCCATGTTCAAGCTGTCCAAGACTTAATATTAAAAGGCAATCAATCTGTCTGATATTGAAATTTACTGACAGTTAATATTTTTTCTTAGCACATTTTCCTCATCATTTCACACGTCAAAATGTTTGAAATTGCCCCAAAACAAGCTACCTAACATGAAGCATCAGCCTATGATACAAAACTAGCAATCATTTTCTGTCAGGGACATCAAATTTTTGCCTCAAAGACATCAGTATGCTATATGGAATAAGGTTGAACTGAATAAGTATTACATTAAAAGAATGACCAGAAAATTGACTCTGAAAATCCAGTTTTGCTGCCCTAAAATTGCACTGGATGCTTTTAATACTAAATATGTACTAGTAAGCCATTGCAAAGCCACATTATACTCCTAGCTAATGAAAAATCATAATGCACTGTCCACAGTCTGAGATTGCCCCGTTTCACCTTTACCTCAGGTGACATGAGCAAATGGACACAAATGATACCCCTGCCAGAGCTGCAATGCCTGGGGTCAACGTCCTATAGGTTGAAAAACTATAATGACTCAGGCTCACATTACCTGCTTATATGACCGGTAGGTCCTTAATTTTCACGTCATGGAAAATTTTTACTGAACGGTGATCTATTTTCTTAATTATGTAAATTCAGATGTACATGGAACTTGAATAATACTTATTAATATACTTTCTACATGCTTTAACTTTTACAAACTGCTGGTTACATAAATGTACATTAACAATAGCATACCTTTTGATTATAACAACACAAACAAAAATTTGATGCCTAGGCTAAAGCAAAAATACTAAAGCATTCTTATAACTACATGTATTCTGATGATCCAGAGGTGTTTTGAAAAACTTTGTTTTATTATATGCAACTGTATTTCTATCAAACTACCACTCCTCAAACATTTGTAGATTTGTGGTTATTTTTTTTTTGTGTGTACGTCAAAAAATGCTATTGACAGCAAGCAAACATTTCGCTACATCTATAACTGACTACCATGATATGCCATATGTTCATACCCTTCTTACTCCCTCCCTGTTAGTACTGTGTTGTACACTGAATGGTCGACTCAACACAAATGCTACAAATAAACAAATTTTCGAATACTCAGGTACAACAATGTACGTGTTATTTCCTCTCCGTACAGAATTTCCATTATAAGTTGAGTCAACTTAGGTTGTTGGGTCACTACCATTTCTGGCATTTGTCCTTGAATTTATCAACATTTCGATCTAACACTTTGACTTCACTGCTATAAGGTTCAATCGTGTTACTAGTAGTACATTCAGCAAGGACCACCCTACTATAATCCTAAATATTTTTCTACCTGGCCTGGGCTACGTAGTGTACAACAGTTTCTGTGCAAACATACTTGTTTTTGTAATGTTCTCTAAACATTAGCATGGAGGTAGCCATTTGAGAAGATGACAATATAATATAGTATTAGGAGAAACACTGTATGTAGTTAGGCTTCATAGCATGAGAATCAACACCTCTGAACCAGCTGACAGCAATGTTCATACACTAACTGTACAATATACTACAATGTACATGGTGTTTGCATATGCTAATGTCCAGTCAATCACTCAATGGTTCTTAAATGTGCTTGCTTTCAGTGTGTCACCAAAATACCACCCAAAGAGGCTCTTGGCTCCGTACTAGTGACTACAAGTGTCCTCCATGAATGTAATTTGGCAACAAACTGGGCAATTACGGCCATATTCTACATGTTGATCACTCGGCTCACGTCAGCACTGCTTGCAAAACACCCTGAAGCTGTAATGGCCGTCATGACGTGTTCATGCTAGCCGTCACGCATGCCAACTGTAAATGTGTGTACAACGTCGCCTATTGAGCATGCATGAACAGTCTCTTGAAATGCTTAACTGATGTTAACTACAGATTACCATACACACATCACCGCTACTAAGTTATGGTCATATTTTTATCTTTCTGTATTAGTGTAATCATATCTGTATTTATTATCTATAGGCCACACCAATTTAATTTATTGGTTCTCGGATTCGCCTCTTCGTTTTTTTCTGATTTGCAAAAAAAAAAAAAATTTGATTCTGGTTCTGAATCAACTGAAAAATGCTCATGTTTTGCCCCC